GGGTTGCGATCCCGTTGCTGGTCCCGGTCCGGTACGGGCGCGACACTGAGGGTTGCGGTTCGTTGCCGGACACGAAAAAAGACAAAAAAAAAAAATCTGCATCTTAGATTCTTCGAACATAATTCTTAGTATTTGAATGAGTTCACAATAATTATAGGTGCTGAGTGCAATAGTTTGGTGCTTGAGATTAAATTCTGAACATACATAATTTCCTTAAAATCATTGTCCAATATACTTTTCAAAAATATAAAATTTAGCTCATTTTATTTGCAGTGGTTTTTTTTGTTTCTCTTATGCTTTTCTCTTTTCCAAGTGAATCATGAATCTTACATGACCTATTTAGGACCACTAAAATGTACTACAGTCATGTGTTGCTTAACGAAGGGGATACATTCTGAGAAACACATCTTTAAGGTGATTTGATTGTGTGGACATCATAGAGTGTACTTACAGAAACCTGTAGTAGGTATTGCCTACTACACACCTATTATCTTATGGGACCACTGTTGTATATGCGGTCAGTTGTTGAATGAAAAGTTGTTTTGTGGCATATGACTGTGTATTAACCAGAAAGTTTAACTTCACATACTTTTTCTGTTATACTTATCAGATTTGAAATAGAAAATTAAATTGAATTCACTTAGCTAAACAAATATACTCACATATGTGATGTCTACTGTGTGCAGATAACTATACTGACATTGCTTTGAGAGTCTTATCAATGGCTAAATTCAAATAACTATTTACAAAACAACTGACATTTCAAATTGTGAAGTTTTTTTTTTTCCCTCCCAAATAACATTCATCATTTTATTTATGGCTTTTCTTGCTCAAAGGGATGTGTGTGGGCAGAGGCAACTTAACATTTTTCTTCTTTTTTTCTGGTGGCTGGGGACAGGGATTGAACCCTGGGCCTTAATGTTATCAGCACCATGCTCTAACCAACTGAGCAACCAGCCATCCCTCCTTTTGGATATGCTTCCTAGTTAAATCCAATGTTCATTTTGAAAAAGATTTAAATGTATGTGTGACCATCTTTGTATATTCGGGCTGCTATAACAAAATACTTTATAAACAATACAGATTTATTGCTCACAGTTCTGGAGGCTGAGAAGTCCAAGATCAAGGTGACAGCAGATTTGGTGTCTGGTGAAGGCCTGTTCCTCATAGATGGCAACTTGCTGTTGTATCCTCATGTGATAGAAAGGGGGAAAGCTCCCTCAAGCCCCTTTTATAAGGGCACTAATCCTATTTATGAGGATGGAGACCTCATGACCTAATCAACTCCCAAAGGCCCCATCTCTTCATACTATCATCTTGAGGGTTAGGTTTCAACATATGAATTTTAGGGGGATACAAACATTCTGACCATAACAATAACCCAGCTCATCTTGAGGGTTAGGTTTCAACATATGAATTTTAGGGGGATACAAACATTCTGACCATAACAATAACCCAGACCAGAGTGCTGGACAAAATTTTACCCTTCTTATCTGTAGATCAAAGAATTCTTTGAAATTCTTATTTTATCAGAAGAATCTCAGGATTAGAAGAGACAGTAAAATATTATCTAGTTTAGCCCTATATTTTAAGTTTTAACCTCTCTATATAGCATTCCCTTCAAGTGGCCCAGTCATAAGAAAGTTTTTTGTCACTTAAATATTATTTAAAGATTGTTTATAGCTATTGATTAACTCAGGCATATAACTTATTGTTTTACATCGTTAGTTTAGTTTGCTACATACTGTAAAAATTATTTTGTGTTTGTCTTGCATTTTGTCCCAATGTTGACCATTTTAATTACTCATAAGTCTTTGGCCTTATGCTAATAAATCAGATATTAACTCTGTATTAGTCTATTGGCTTAAAACAAAATACTTGGAACTGGGTGACTTATAAGAAAATGAAATTTATTCCTTACAGTTTCAGAGGCTGTGAAGTTCAATGTCCAGGGAACACATCGGGTAAGGGGAGGACCATCTTCTGTTCAGCAATGCAGGGGTCTCACATGTCAGAAAATGGTGGAGCAGAGAGAGAGACTCTCACGTGCTCTCCTTTTAAAGCCCTCAAAACCATACCCATGACCACCATTATCAGTCCATTCACTAGGCATGGTCCTCGGAGTTTAATCACCATTTCAAGGCCCCAACTTTCAATTACTGTAATAGGGTTTCCCACTCTTTCAATACTGTCACAGTGGGGCCAAGTTTCCAATACCTGGAACTTTGGAGGACACAATTTAAGCATAAAGGAGTTTGCGGGGGACATTCAATCCACAGCAACTCATCAAAAAAGAACTGTGCTTGTTAATTAAGAATATTGGATAAGGCAATTGAACTAAGCACTGGACAATACAAGGATGTAGATCTATAGCTATAAATAATCTAGAACTAGCATCATTATTCTTTAGTGTGGTTTCCAATAACGATTAAATATATTGTGGCTACTGATTTCAAAGAATACATGCCAGGCTTAAAAAATACTTTTATAAAAACTAAAAGTATTTACTAAAATCTCCAGTTAATTAACAGAAGAACTTTTTTTTTTACAGTATTAAAATTAACTTGTAACTTGTATTAGGCACTTACAGTGTACCAAATATTATGCCATAGAAAGTCACATATAATTTTATGTACCTCTTACATCAACCCACGAAGTAGATCTTACATACAACATTTAATGGATTAAAAGACANTACTTTTATAAAAACTAAAAGTATTTACTAAAATCTCCAGTTAATTAACAGAAGAACTTTTTTTTTTACAGTATTAAAATTAACTTGTAACTTGTATTAGGCACTTACAGTGTACCAAATATTATGCCATAGAAAGTCACATATAATTTTATGTACCTCTTACATCAACCCACGAAGTAGATCTTACATACAACATTTAATGGATTAAAAGACAACAAAAACAAAAACTCTTAAGTTCTGAAAGTTCTATGTAATTTGCTGAAAATTATATAGGTAGGAAGTGGCTAATCAAGGACTGGATCCAGGATTTGGATTCCATAGCTAAATGTCTTAGATATTCCCAAGTACATAAATGTTTCTGTTAGCATATATTGTTCTTTATTTTAAAAATTTATTTATTTTTAATTGAAACGATTGATTATACATATCTGTGGGATACAGCATTGGATATCAATACCAGTGTGCATAATGTGATCCTCAAATTAGGATAATTAGTATATTTAACATTACACAATGTAATCACTTTTTGTGGCCCTTTACCAATTTCTCACTTAACACCCTCCCTCCCCATTTCCCACATCTGGTGGCCTCAGTTATGTTCTCTCCTAGAAAAACCTTTCTAATAAGCTGATTTTTCCAGCTAGGTCATTACTCTTTTCTTCAATGGCCATGTCATAAGTTTCAAGAGATATTTATGAGCTTTGGTCTAGTTGATGGTGAAATCATGTTCTCATCAAATGGGTTCGATGTATTCAACTAAGAGGAAAAACACACTTAGATGGTTTTCTTTTCTATTTATAAAGTCTAGGGTGGGAAATTCCCTGTTTACTCCTTTTTGTACTTGAAAGCTGGCAGTTTGATCCAGTTAGCTCAACTGTCTAGAATATGCTGACCAAAATGACTTGTGGTCCCAATCTGGGCTAGTTTGCTTTACTCATAGGTAAGGTGGTGTCTTAATCAACCTGGGCTGCTATAACAAAATACCATAGACTGGGTGGCTTAAACAACAGAAATTTATTTCTCATAATTTTAGAGGCTGGGAAGTCCAAGATCAAGGTGCCAGTAAGGTAGGTTTCATTTTGAGATCTCTTCTCTTGCCTTGTAGGTAGCTGCTCTCATTGTGTGCTACTGTGACCTCTTTGTGCACAAGCAGGAAGAGAGAGAGCAGGCTCTCTGGTGTG